GGTAGTGGTAGTGGTAGTGGTAGTAGTAGTAGTAGTAGTAGTAGTAGTAGCAGTAGCAGGGTAGTGTAGAAGTAGTACTAGTAGTAGTAGTAGTAGTAGGAGGAGTAGTAGTAGTAGTTGTTGTTGTTGTCGTAGTAGCAGTACTAGTAGTAGTAGTAGTAGTAGTAGTAGAAACTATGGCATGAGCATCAGCAGCAGCAGTGATTCAAATGTCCATGCTGGACATGTGCACCTCACGTTGTATTGGTCGGAGGTCGCATGTCTGCAGCATGAAGACCACGCTTCGGAAGAGCTGCAGACATCAGTGAGACTGTATACACAGGCACCACCTCTCCGTGAATCCACGAACCCCGGCTCCTTGGCCAAGTAGACGCCTGCCACACAGCGTACTGCCAGAATCCCAAAGTTTAGCTACTGCCCGACAGCACGGAACTGCTAGCGGCCTCAGGGACCTCAGCCTCAAGAACAAAATACATCAGAGAGAGACAGAGAGAGGGAATATGCACATATATATATATATGTACATCTATACACACATATATGCATACATATACAGGAAGTTAGAGAGAGAAGATAAATAGACAGATAGATAAATAGGTTGTGATAGACCGGGGTAGATAGCTGGACCGACAGACGGACAGACAGAGAGACAGACAGATTGGGTCCGATTAGGTAACCGACGAAATCATGGTCACTTTGGGGAACCCTATATTAAGTCTACCCTTGCCTGCACCCCATAATTTGGGAACCCCAAAAGGGACCCTGATTTGGATGACTACTCAGATAGATAGACAGATAGACAGATAGACGAGAAAGACAGAAAGACGGGCAGACAAGTCCAAAGAGGCTAGATAGATAGACGCGTAGATGGACACACGACATCTTCTCCGTGGTGTTCTTATGGTTGTGTGAAGTCGGACACTCGAAACGCGAAAAAGGATAAATTGACGGAGACACAGCTACCGATGCAGAGCAACAACCACAAGCTTTTTTCCCTACGGCTACGACCGCAGCAGCCACAAGCCAAAATGCTAAAGCTACGGCCCGGCGACCCGGTTTAGGGCTTAGGGTTTCGGGTTTAGGGTTTGGGGTTTAGGGTTCAAAGTTTAGGGGAACTAAAACCCTGAACTAAACATGGTCACGCCATAAACCCAAAGAGCCCAATACCTCTTAATTAAGGAATATACCGTAAATCATAATATTTAAGACTTCGCTAAGGGGTATTGGGTTCTCTGGGAACCGCCCTGTTTGCACCTTGTTGCCATTGGGTGACATCCCCCAGGCTGCCAAGGGCGTGGCCCAATGCCAGCCCTTCCGCCTGCGCCAAGCAGGCGCAAAATAGTTGAAGATTGGGAATCTGTGCAGAAGAAGTAACAAAAAAATGCCCTGCACCCATAATCATGGCAGCAATGATCGCCGAAAGAATAGCTGTATGACATGCCGCAGTACTATGACGGTTGTAATGGTAATAACATGCCTAACACTACTACCATGTTGATGGCAAACATGTAGGAGTTCAGGGGAAGCCACTTCCACATTGTGATATGATCGGCGCAACAAAATCATCTGGGACTACAAGTGAGTGCAGGATCGAGGACCTTGCAGCATAACACCAAGCAGACCAAGCAGTTAAAGGGCAATGACATCGGCTTCACTCAGACAAAAACAAGCTTTCTGGCTAACTGCCACTGCTCATCGCGAGCATCGGTCGAGTCTACTGCGAATCGAAAGCTGTCGCAAAATCAGCCAGCACCACGCAGGCAGTGCCTACATGTACTGCTGAAAGGTGCAAAGCATCTGCATCTGGAAATCTGCAAGTCCTGAACAAAATACCTGGCACTGTGCTTCAGTCGTCCTTGCAAGTCTAGCAGTTGCAGATGGGTGGAGTCCGCGAGGAAGCGATCTTCAAAAACAGTGGAAACGCTGGTGCCCCACCAAAAAAGCGGCAAGCACCAAAAGGTCGGCCGCCTGCTGGGCGGCCGATCTTCAAATGGGTTCTTGAAACAAGCCGGAGCTCGGAAACCAAGGCACTGAATTCAGGGTTAAAAAGATGAGATGCTTAAGAGTCACTTGTGGCAGCATCGACACGCCCACTTGCAAGCTACTTCTCCTAGCTAGCCTGCACGAGCCTTTCACTAAGATCCCACAACTTGCGGCAGCGTGCGTCATCAGCAGCCTCTCCACCGATCTCATCGATGGAGAGCGTGCGGAAGCTGCCATAGTTCATGAACCAATCCAGTTCCTTGTCCTTGTTCTCCACCGCGTCCTTGCCTCCGCTTCCTCCCGTCCCTGCCTCACCTCCCCAGCTGTAGTAGGAGCCGGAAGTGGCGTACCTCTCGTCTGACACCTGGGATGAGAAACGAAGGGGCCCCATCGGAATCCCTAGAGTTGTCCTAGCGGCTTCATGCAGCCAGGTCTCACATGCTGCAAGGCGCTTGCCGGCTTCCTCTTGGCTGACATAGGCCTTGGTGACAGATTTGTGGAAGGCAGGGAAGAGGTGCTGGAAGAGTGGGTAGTGTTCACGGAAGAGCCCCGTCTCCGCGATGCATCCCGGATAGAGGGAGGTAAAGACAATGCCGGTTTCGTTGTGATATCGGCGGTGCAACTCCTTCATAAGCATCACATCACAGACCTTGCTGTCCTTATACGCCTTCGCGCCATTGAACTCATGGGCATCAAGCATGGACACCGGCGCCTTCATGCCCTTTTCCAGACCCTCGAAGTTCCCCACGTGTGCAATCGGGGGAATCATGCCTCCCAACTCCGCACCGTTCACAGTGGCCGTGACCGTCCCAAGGATGATGCAACGTGCGGGCTTCACCGTGCTGCGCTTCAGGTCCTGGAAGGCTTTCAGACATGATCTCACGTGTCACGACATGCTATTTGAGTTGATAGGATATGAGATGCAATAGTATGTAACGGCTATGTAATGCGAATGGTAAATGGTAATGCAAATGGTATAGTGCGATGTGGATTGCTATGGTAGGGTATGGTGTGGCATGATATGGTATGGTACGGTATGACATGGTATGGTACTAGTATGGTATGAATGGGATGGGATGGTATGGAACGGGTATGGTATGGATGGGATGGGATGGGAAAGGATTGGATGGTATGGTGCGAGTATGGTATAGACGGGATGGGATGGGATGGGATGGGATGGGATGGGATGGATGGTTTTGTATGGCGTGGTGCAGTATGGTATGACCTGATATGCTATGATATGACCTACAGATTTTAGCAGGATACACTGCGGATACATATGTAACACTCAGGGTTTTGAGGCGATCAGCTTGGGAGAGCGGAGAGAGCGCTACATGCAAAACAGCAGCGAAGATGACTGCTGCATGTCATGTTCTATTATCCTCAGGCGGGTCCCGGCCTCCAGGAGGAGCTTGCAGAGCAGGAAATGGCCCAAGTAGTTTGCCGCGAAGCTGAGCTCGTGGCCATCGGCAGAGTAGCGAGGCCCCTCTCCTGCGAAGAGCCCTGGGAGGAAGATGCCGGGCTTGTGCGCGTTGGGGAAATACACGGCCGCATTGCACACCAACGCATCCAAAGGCCTGCCCAAAGCGTGGAATGCATCCACAAAGTGGCGAACACTGCGGTTGGAGGCCAGGTCGCAGTGGAGAACCTCGTAGGAGTCTTCGAACATACCCGCTTCCTTCGCCGCCTTCTCTGCCTTTTGGAAATCCCGGCAGGCCATAATGACATACCAGTCTCCCGTTGCCGCCAACTCTTTTGCTGCAGCCAGGCCCAAACCCGAAGAGGCCCCGGTGATGATGACTGTCTTCTTGTCGGGCGGTGCCATGAAGGGCATCTGAGGCATCTGGATGGAGAACCGGCGAGCCGTCAACTTGGCCTTTCTTGTGTTGCGCTGCTGGGCGAGGCCGGCAATCCCGGCGATCCCAGCGATTCCGGCCAAGGTAGTCTGGGTTGCTCCCAGCTGCACGCTGCCATGCGCAGATTGCTTTGTGGATTCCACCAAGCTCTGTGCTGGCAGGCGGGCGACCGGAGTCGGGGCCGTTGCGACGAATGCTGGCGCGAGCATTGCGATCAAACAAGCGGCTCTGTGCAAGACGGCTCTCAGCTGTGCTCCGAGCTGTTGACACCAAATGGCTGCAACACAGCGAGATCTTTGCGGTTGATTGCGCTTGCAACTTCGGCAGCAGTACAGCAGGCTTCAGCGGCCAGGAGCAGCTAAAGAACTGAATGCACTCGCAAAGCCGGAACTCTGGGCCTGCAGCAACTGAGCAGACTCCGTCAGGAGCAGCAGCGCCCACCTGAGCAAAAATGCGACCCCCAGCCCCCTGACCCGGCACCGGAATGCGATTGGTCACTGAACTGACTTTGAGGTCGCTCTGGCTGCGGTCCAGCAGCCCCCAGCGAGACTCACGACACGCAGAGATGGCTGCATTGACCTCGGAGCGGCACTTGGCTTGGAAGATCACATACTGCATGCAATCTTGCGGGTACGATGATGTAGGGTGCTGCTGTCTGGGTATCTACACAGGATGCATAAGTGTACCTAGATTCCTCAGGCATTGCAAAATACTCACAGCCCAAAGCCTCTTATGCAAGTCAGAGGCGAGCCACTTACGACTTAGCTTATGTACAGCGTGTGTGTGTGTGTGTGCGTGTAAATAGATGCGTACATGAATAAACAAATGCATAAATAAATCAATACATACATCAATAAACAAATGCACAAATACATAAACGAGTAAATAAATAAATATCTACACGTGTGTGTATAATATATATATATATATATATGCACATATATGTATATTTGTATGTGTATATATATATATGTATATATGTATATATGTCTATATGTACATATGTACATATGTCTATATGTACATATGTACATGTGTCTATATGTACACATGTACATATGTCTATATGTAAATATGCACATATGTCTATATGTACATATGTATATATGTACATATGTATATAGGTATATATGTAAATATGTATTTACACGCATGTATATACATGTATACAATTTTATGAACGTGTGTATATACATGCGCGAAAGTAAGTAAATACTGTATGTATTTATATATACTACATGTTAACCTACGTATTTATTCATATTTATATACACACGCATAAGTGAGTGCATGTATGTGCTGCCGGGCGTCTCTGTGGAGAACGACGTGTCCCTGTCCCCCTACCGAACATTAGCCGACACCGATCCTGCTGCTGGGTTGCTGTTCAGGAACTTAAACTAAGTTGCTGTAATAAGGAACCCCTGTTATTTACCCTATATCCCCAGTATGCTAGCTTAAACTAAGCTCCTTAACAGCAGCCCAGGATGGGTAAGGCCAGGGCTGCAATTGCGTTCGAGCAGAAACCTTTGCTGCTCGCCGAGAGAAGCCAAGCCAAGGCCGGCTGCCACTCCTGCACATGGGTAGTTCTCTGAAGTAGGATCCCTTTCTGGTGGGCCTAGGGCTCCTTAAAGGGATCCATAAGTGTTTCTCTAGGATGTTTATAAGGGTATTAGATGGGTAGTTCTCTGAAGTAGGATCCCTTTTGGGGGGTTCCTTACAGGGATCTATACGGGGTTCTATACGGATACTATATGGGCAGCTCTATAAAGTAGGGTCCCCTTTTAGGTCCCAAAATGGTAGGGTGCTCAAGCTTTTCCAGTGCTTTGGGTCTTTGGGGTTTTGGGTCGAGGGCTCTTGAGCTGCCAGTATCTGGAAGCCTGGACCTGAGAAAGATGTGCAGAGAGCTATCAGCTACGTCTCCAGCCGGAAGACCTCAGAATGCAATCAGGCGTACCCTATTTTGGGGGTCCTTATAATAAGGATCCTACTATTTAGGGTACTATATTCGCATCCTGCATCTTGGAGCAAGCATTGACCAGCCCGCTGTAGGCGATCGCCTGATCATTCGGGGGGGATGGGGCTGGAAGCCTGTGCTTTCCGGGATGTACTGCACCTCTTGATCCTTCACCGGTGTTTACAAGTAACAGTAGGGTTCACACAGGGTCCGTCTGGGGCTTCTGGCTTCGAGGTTCCCGAGCAGCTCTACAGTTTAAACGCAGCTACAGCCCGAAAACAAGGTACTGATAGCCCTACTTATTCCTTCGTTACTTGAAGGCTGCAAGTCGTGTCTCCGCAATACGCCAGGATACGCCAGGGAGTCTCCGTCACAGCGCCACAATCAATCACACTACGAATTTCTATAGGCCCTAAACACGAGACCCTGAAGGAAGGGGACGCATCTGGAATAGGTGTTACCAGTAGGGCTTTTCGAACTCGAAGCTTTGAGAGTTTGAACGTATCAGACGGAGGGCGAGATTGGAGAGCTTGATAATACAATAGTACATTCTGCATGGTATATGATGGTACACTATAGTATATTATGGTATATTGTGGTATAATGAAGAGTTTCGAGTTCGAAGGACGGATGTCCCGTCTTTGAAAACATGCACCAGACGCCCGAGTTTCGAGCTTGTAGCGTTAAACACAGGCTTTTTGACAACCTATGCACTACAACTGGTTGTTGAAAAATGGAAGTTGGGAAAGTCTGGAACCTTTGGGATGCTCCCCGGAGAGGCCACGGAAGGCCACACGGTGCCTCCCTGGCTCAAGACACGTGTCTGTGCTTCTATCGCGGCTCGATTCCGAGATGTCCGAGCCCAGGCCGATTTGCTAAAAGAAGCCGCTCTGGCACACATTGAGTTTCGGAGCTAAGATAGGCACACACACACACACATACACACACACACATACACATACACATACACACACACACACACACCCAGCCACCCTCCGGGGTAGACCAAATTAAATTCAATGCGCCCCACAACTTCGAATTGCGGATGCCTTTGCTGCTGCGGTGACTGAAACAAAACACTCTGAAAACCCTAACCAACCGAGCTTGTGCTGACCCAACTGCTGCTACCCGTTGCCTCGTGTTGCACGGACTGCTCCTCCAACCGCGAAAGCAGATGGCTCGCTGCCTGCCTCGAGTTGAAGTTTGAAGCCTTACCTGTACCTTCTTATATCCATCTGCTTTCCTGGCTTCGAAGCTTCTGCTTATGGGAAGCATCTGGCCGCATGGGCCCTTTGATGCTTCGAGATTTGGGAATTCAGTCTGCACATTCCTCTACTGTTGGGTTCTCATTGCCAGGTGCAGTAGCTTTTCCTATGCTGGCCTTCCCAACGCAGCCAATGCAGGCGCGACGGTGCTCCCGGTAAACTGGTCTGGTGCCAGGCACCTCGCGAATCCGCTTTCCAAGCCTTAAGACCCCGAAAACCTCGGGGTATATAGCACCCTTATAGAAACCCTATAGAAGCCTTATAGATCCCTTTAAGGAACCCCAATAACCGGGCCTCACATCCATCTCCTCGAAGAGGCTGAGGCACACTTCCCACATCCCAGCTCTTTCGCATGCACACATGGCCGCCTTGCTGAGGGAATTAGGCTCCAGCCCTAGTTTCTCACTCGGATTCTAGGCCATACATCCTGTGCTTGTTGTTAGTACTATGGCCCCCAAAGGAAGAGTCTTCTCTCTCCCTGCGACGAGCAGCGTTGTAGGCGACCGAATTCATCTGCAGAGTCTCAGCATTTAAGTGTCCCAGCAGGGCAAGGGCTTTGCTCCACTCGGCAGCTTCGGAAAATGCGGCCAGAACCTCGAGCTTCTCGGCTTGGGGCTTAGGGGGCACTTTTGGGGTGCAGGGTCATGGACTTGAGGGCTCTGAAAGCTGGCACACACATTTCTTAAGTAGCCATGCTGGACAGGATGCCGCGCCATAGGCGAAGATGTTCGGAGAAATTCGGAGCAGCGCCAGGTCTGTGAACAATTGCAATGCCATTTGCCATTGCCCGCATTTGCCACACGCATTGATAGCGGAAGCATAGGTGATGATGTTGCTCCGCAGCTGCTCATGTTGGAGGCTATCCAGGAAAAACAGAGCACGCTGCCACTGGCCGCCGTCATGCTCACCTCACAGAACACGCAGTACACAATATCAGCCTTGCCTCCCCACGCCTCCCATCTGCCACAGCTCAGAAATCCAGTATCCGAGTCACATGCAGCAATGGCCGCGTTGTGAGCTATAAGGCTGCTCTCCAGCCTGCAAGCTCCCGTCACCACTTTCGGCCCTACAGTAGAAGCCTGTTGTAGGCTTCCAGCCTCGAAAGCTGCATCGCTGAGAGCCTCACGGGAAGCGGAAGAAACTGCCCCTCCCCTCGGCTTCGTGCCCTGCGAAGCAACTCTCGGTTGCTCGGCTTTAGGAACTTTAGGAACTTGCAGCCTAGCTGCAGCCAGATCGCCACTTGCCAAGCGCTGCCTTTGGCGCAAGAGCTGATGGCCGCACTGTACATGAACGCGTTCCTGAGCAGCGCTCGACTTTCAAAAAGGGGCCCCTCCAGGGTAGGCAAGCGCAGACGCTCTTTCTATGCATGCAGAAACATCGACCGGGATCATTGTTTTCTGTGACTGTCACTCTTCCTGCTACGAGCTTCTCTTCTTGCTGTCACTACCCAATGCTCGGCAAATCCTAGCTCCGAGAGTCGTCTCGACCCGCGTCTCAGACGAAGGCAGCATCTGGAGAGCCGCCTCCCACTGCGCTGCCTCTTGGCATGCACCTGAGCACTCCAAAAGCGGACCAGAGTCAGAGGCCCTGCATGAGAAGCCCGTGCTATAAGTATCTCCCGCCCTGGCGCTGATGGCGGTGCCGAAGCTGTGGCTGCTCCCCACCGGGGGCAGCATCAGCAAGGACCGCAGCCACCGACCACCAGCCCTGTGTGGACAGCCCAGGTCGGATCAGGCTCGCGGGGCGGGACGAACTGCACATGAACCAAAGACGGCAGATTGCTTCCGAGGGCACCCGAAAGCTGCCATGGCCGCATTGCAGGCAACCAGGTCGCTGTCCACCTACATCGACACTGCAAGACAGGCAGGAGCACTGAACAGTAGCCTGCCTGTCGGCTCTGCATCCTGTCGAAGATGGCGACGGCATCTGGCCACTGCTCCCCTGGCCCGGAACGCCCAAACCCAAAACCTCACAGCCGCTGTCCAAAGACCATCCCGCCTCGAGTGCAGGCCGTAATGGCTGCACTGTACCTGCGGTACTTGCAACACAAGTGTCAGCTTCGTCACTAAGGCCTTTCAAAGCTGAAGCACACCAGGCTGGCGGCGGGGCATTCGGATCCACTGATAAAGGCGCGCTTGTGAAACTAAGGCACACGATCACGTTGTTTCGGAGCTGCTCGCTGGCCATCTCGGTCCTTAGTTCGGCACGGTGCTCCAGCATACTGCCTTCAACCCAGTCTGGTGCTTCGACCGGTCCTGCAGGCTCTCTGCGGGCCTGGACCTGTCTCGGGATGCGAAACACGTTGCCACTGCAGGGAATACGAGCCCGCTGACGACTGGCGAATCTCAAAACCCACTAAGGACTCCTTGATACGAACGAAACCTGCCTGCCCAAGCTTTCAACCGTTGGAAGCCCCATTCGCAGAAACCACTGCATGGCCAGTCGCAGAAGCCACAGCGCTAGTTGCCAGCGCCGGGCAGATGCGCAAACCTAAAATGAAACATGAACATGGTGATACCGGTGAGGATAGAGATGATGAAGAAGTTGATGATGATGATGATGATGACGATGATAGTAATGATGACGGTGATGGTGATGATGATGATGGTGATGGTGATGAAGGGGTGATCATGATGATCCTTGAACACTATCATCATGGATATCAACATTTCCATCATCACCAACTTTGTCGCATCGCCATCGTCATCGTCATTGTGGTAGTGCAGGCAATAATCGTGAAGGTGGTGATGGCGATGCATGATGATGATGAAGAAGAAGAAGTTGATGTGGATGATGATGATGATGTTGATGATGATGATGATGATGATGGTGGTGGTAATGATGACGACAATGACGGTGATGATGATGGTGGTGGTAATGATGATGATGATGATAATGATGATGATGATGATGATACGGATAATGATGCTGATACTGGTACTGATGGATGATGATGATGATTATGATGATGATGATGCATGATGATGCTGATGATGAATGATGTTGCATGATGATGCTGGATGAGGATGGTGATGGTAGGGGCGAGAGGGACGATGAGCATGTTCCGGTGTAGCATGGAAATGTCTGGCGTACATGAAATGACATCGCATATGACATGTGGTATATGATATGGGATATGAGATATGATGAATGAAATTTGACACATGATGCATGGTATATGCTATGTCTATATGCTCTATGGCATGACCTGGTAACCAGTCTAGTAAGACGTGATACGACATGCTATGACCTGATACGGTATGGCATGATGTGATATGATATCACGTGGTATGACGTGATGTCTTGTGATGTGTCGTGATGTGCCTTGATATGGCAGGACATGATATGCTATGATATGATATGATATGATATGATACGGAATGAGATGGCATGATGTGACCTGGCATGACATCACATGACATGACACAATACTACATGAGGTGATATGACGTGATATATATCATATGTCATGCCATGCTGTCATGACAACGGAGCGATGGCAACAGCTGCAGTGAAGCAGTATCTAGTGGCAGCATTGTGCTACTAACTACACCCGCTGCCCCAGCTGCTCCTCGTTGTCTTGCTACAACATGCTACAACTAATACGAAAACTACGACAACTGCTGCTGCTACTGCTACTACCACCACTACTACTGCTAGTACGATACTGCTAGTACGACTACTTCGACCACTACTGCCACGACGACCACTGCTACCACTACCACTACCACCAAAACTAAAACTATTACTGATGCTACTGCCGCTGCTGCCGCTACTGCTGCTGCTGCTCCTGCTTCTACTACGATTGCTACTAATCATAACTACAATCATTACTACTACTACTACTACTACTACTACTACTACTACAACTACTACTACAAACTACTACTACTACTACTACTACTATTACTACTACTATTGCTACTACTGCTACTACTACTACTACTGCTGCTACTACTACTACTACTACTACTGCTACTGCTACTGCTACTACTACTACTACTA